AGCTGGCATGGATTGCTTCAGTTTTCATTCGCTCAACACGGGGTGCTTCACAACGCTTGAGCAGGAGCACGAGAGACAACACAGATGCCCATGCACATGCATGCTCTCCAAAACTCATGCAACACAGCAGTGCTTTGTTTGCACGGCACTTTTGACAGACTCAAGAGGCACAAGGAGGTGTGATATAAGATGATATAAGATATGATGTGGCGCAGTTCTGGTTGATAGGCGTGAACATGGCACACCGAATCATACACTAGCAACATGTGGTGCATACAGTAGTGTGTTCTTTACATGAAGATCCCCGAGCCAAAGAGTGACTACCAAGCACGCTAGTGCTCTGCTAGTCATATACCCGTGACCAGTTACCTGGTGAGGCGAGAGGCTGCCAGGAAACAACAGCTCGACAAGGTGCTGGGTGAAATGCGCCAGCAGCTGCTTGATGGAACTGGCCAGTGCCTGCATTGCCAGTGCCTGCATTGAGAACTTTCTACAACACAAACCTATGTTTGTTGAACCTTCCTTACACACACACACAGATATATATATATATATGATCTTATAATATACCGTATTTTTCTTTTCCTCTCTCTCTCTCTCTCTATAGACACGTAACCACGTATTTCGCTCCAACGGCTTTTGGTACTTTCGGCGCGTTTGTCAGCTGCTTCTGAGGCTGGGAGCTTCAGACGACCAAAGGGGCTTGGACCGATTGCGGCAGGCATCTACCGGCATCGCTACTAATAACAAGAAGCTATAAGCGCATCGCTATTAGTAACTGTGCATCGCTATTAGTAGCTATTTTACAACTATATAGTAACAAGAAGTAGCTCCTGGCATTACTACTAGGAACAAGAAGCTACTAGTAACAAGGGCATCGCTAGTAGTAGCTAGAAGCTTTGAGTTGCTTTATCGATTGGTCGATGTCGTCAAGGCATCCACCCATAGCGATCTTCTTGTGTGCATGTTCATCCTTGTTCTTGCACGTCGGGACCTTGCACCACATTAGTGCCCATGCCATTATTATGGTGCTGCAAGTGTCATATTTTGGGAAGGGAGCCTCGATGGGTTGGACTCGATCACATCATCCCCCTCCAGCTCAAAGTTAGGGGTGTCACGGAGGCTGAAAGCAGCCAAGCCCGAAGTTGAACAAATGGTTTCAGTAGCCCACGGAGTAGCAAGCATAAAATCGTGAAGGTTAAGCAGCAAGCTGAAAGGACCTCACGGGAACATAGACGGCAATGGCTTCAAAGCAAGAAGCACGTGTGATGGACGCAGGTTCGGTTGTAAACGCGGTCCCTGTGATGAGTTGTTCACGCGGTGTGCTCTTCATTTGGAGTTAGCTTCCATCTTTTTACAAGAACACATCTCCACTCGACCCCATCACCCCATTCCCATGCAACCTCTGTGTGTGCAGCTCATCCAGGTTGTGTGTGTGCGCAGCTTGTCCAGATTCTGTGTGCGCTCTGATCCCGTTTCGTGTGCGCAGCTGATCCTGTGTCCCACGTGACCGGCCTTCAACCCAAGAACAAGCTAGTTGACTTCATATATATACATATATATAGAGGGACTGGAAATGAGGAAGTTCTTTTTTTGGACGTAGGACTGTATCACTGATGGCCTGAACGATCATTGAGTAGGACATGGATCAACAAAGGGCCAAGATGGGCCAAGGATCAGGGTGTTTTGCCCAGGAGAAAGAGCGACATGCTTTGAGCTCTGCCGCGCGCATTGCTGCTGAGACTGATTTGCAGAAGCATCGGCAGAAGCGAACTGCGGAGCTGGAAATGCAAGCTGAATTAGTGCCAGAGCAGCAGGATGATGCAGGATGTTGTTGTTCCTTCGGGTTCGTGGTCCCTTGCACGTGTCCTGCCCATGTCCTACCCCTCGTACATGCCTCCAACCTGCTCCTAAACAACAGTATGGCCCCCTTGAAAGTTAGCCTTGCAGAGTGCTTGCCCCTAACGTTTGCAGGTCAGTTTCCATGCCGTATAGCAACTCAGCATGAGTAGATAACAGTGGCGTCACTTCGTTTCGGTGCTGAGACGCGCACATGCCGGTGGGTTCCAACTCTGGCCCAAGGCCAAGATGATGATGGAGAAGCAGCAAAGAGAAAAGGATGGACTGGATGGACCAAAATCCCGCATAACAGCATTATGCTCTATGGCATTTTGACGGCATGGGGTGATTTTCTCTTCCCTTTGAAAGAGGTATTGTTTATTTTTTGTATACCGACACATCAGGCGCCGAGGGCTTGTCTCATGCCTTCATGCCTCTCATGCCTTCAAATTCGACTGAGGCCATAGACCAGGCCTTTGTGGATATGACCATTGCGCGAGCTAGCGGCAAAGCTGTCCCCAAGTCGGACAAACCTATGCACCAAGTGGACGCGTCAAAGGATTTGAGCAGTTCGGTTGCAAAAGGGCCCCCAAAACGTGATTCGGGTGGAGTATATGTTTGTGGAAAACATTAGTAAGCCGCAAGCCCTCCGTGCAGATCCCTTGTCGATACCTGATAAGTCGGACGACATCAATGGTGTCCGAGGCAAGCCTTTAGGCAAGCCACGCATCAAGCCATGGGTTGATATAGCCAAAAGCCACGGCCCAGGAGGCATGGGCCATCATGGGCCGACAGCAAGGGCTGGGGGAGACGGAGTTCATGGGCTGATGCTGAGACAATCACTTCCTAATGGCAAATGTGTATGAGGAAGTCCTGTGAAGCAAAGTCAGTATGTAGCATAGTGTTCCCCACTGGAACTGAATCAGGAACTCTGTGGAACTCCACCCCCTCCCCCAAAAATCCATACACTCATACACTATTTATATTCTATTTCCTTTATCAGAGGAATTGGAATCGCAACTAGATCTGGATCTAGAACTGGAACTGGATCTCCTTCACCCAACAAATTAATTTCACTGCAGGAGTTGACATGACCACTGGAATTGGAGCTGGAGCTGGATCTCCTCCCCACCAAAAAGTCATCGAAGGAATCGACATGACCACTGAGACTGAAACTAGTAATTAACTAGATCTAGCACTGGATCTAGAACTGGAACTGGATTTGGAACTGGAACTGCCCCCCCCACCCCGTAGGCAGTGAGCACCACTTTGGAATTGGATCTGGAACTGGAACTGCGCCCCCCCCCACCCCGTAGACAGTGAGCACCACTTTGGAACTGGATCTGGAACCGGATCTAGAACTGCTGCCTCCACCCCTGAGACAGCTACCACCACTGTAAAACTGGAACTGGATCTGGAAGTGGAACTGTTCCAACCACCAGGGGCACACTCTGCATAATGTGACCTGTGACAAGTCAGAATTGTTGGGAGATATTACTTGCTTGGAGTTGGATGTGCAGGCAGCGGCTGTTTAGTTTATTGTGCGTGAAGCAGAAGTTGTGGCTTGCAGGCGTTGTAGGTGTGTTCGGTGGTGATGGCCGAGTACATCAAAGCCTCATGGCAACGGGCGGAGCGCGACGCATCCTTACTGATGCAGCAGTCGCTCGGCATGAAAACCTGTCAAGGGGTCCATGTTGCCTTGCTGATTCAATCAATTGCAACTGAACAGCCGCTTATCAGAGAGCCTGCTCATCGAAAGGCGCGAAAGACCTGGTCAGAAGGAATAAGTGCAGCATCTTGCTTGCATTTGCAGAGGTTACCAGTTTCCAGATGTTTCCGGATGTGGTATGGCTTTCTGCCCGGCAGTCAGGACAAAATGAAGGAAGGCCAAAAAGCTGCTGAACAGCGACATCTTGCACAGCTGCACGACAAGAGCGATAGCCTTTGAGAATGGGATGGTTTCCAGTGCACAAAGTGTTGCCACCAAGTATTGCAAGAATGTGCAAGACGGCTGCTGTCAGAGAAAAACACGATCCAAAGTTCCGAAGGCTGTGCTTAATGATTTTCGATCGACCATATTTTAGACATGTGTCACGTCCTGGCCTTTGAGAACTCAAAGCCGGACACCAACTATTGGATTATTGGACCATATCAACATTTATGGTTTGTCCGTCATTTCCAAAGTGCATTGGTATAGCATTCTTCTAACTTCTGGTAATGAGTGGGTGTGTTTCACCCAAAAAAGTTTCACCCGTATATGCGGTACCTCAATAATCAGGCGCCGGTGTTGCGGAAATCAATGCGGCTTGGTGAGGGAAGGTGCAGGGTCAAGAGCTGCTCCCGGGTGCAGTTATAAAAGAGATTTGTAATGGTCCTGCAGAAGGGGGTCCAAAAAATCCATTGATCGGCCGGCTTGTGACAGGCTGTATGGTTCCAAGGAGGCTGATTGGAGCTACACGGAAGTATTCGATTCAGTGGCCATTGCCATGAAAGTAGATCTGACACCAGCAGTGTTTGGGTACTGTATTATTCCCTGGCAAGCTACCCGTTTTTGAGAGACCCAAGTTCAATCGTCATGCTTGTTTGAATAATTGTCTTTGGGTAGGCTGTTGCTCGACTCATTGTAGACGGGGGTTGGGCTGGCGCAGAAGCAAAAGTAGTCAGCATTCTGAGAACCGGCAGTCCATCACTGAGGTGAGTTTGGCGGTGGACTATCATGCAGTCTTCTCCTGCGTGTTAAAATGAATTCCTTTGCATTTGTGTCACCATTGCAACTTCACTGAGTAAATTGAGACTTTCATCCTCAGCCATTTAGCAGCAGCAGCAGCAGCAGTAGTAGTGCTATGGTGATCCAGGCATGAGATTAAGCTTGTGCTGTGCTACTTGTGTCGAAGCTCCCTTTACTGCATGCATCGGAATACCCTGCACCGACAGACTCTTTCTTCCTTTATACCCTCTGGGTAAGTGGAACAAATTAGAGATGTCCAACCATCTAGCGATGGCCTCCAACCTGATAGCGATGGCCTCCAACCGAGAAGCGATGGCCTCCAACCCAATAGCATGATGATGTTGCATTTTTGCCAATGTTTTTCCGTGAGGTGAGAGGTTAAACATGTCCTGTACTTTGGACGAACTCTTTATCGCTTGCTCATTTCTTTGCTATGACCGTCCCGCGGCGTCGAAGAGGGTGGCAATGCGTAGCCGCGCTTTCTATCTCAGGCAGGTTGATCTACTGTATCTCCAAATGTTGATGTCAGTTTGGCAACCGGCTCCGGGCATGCATCGCTATTAGGTTGGAGGCCATTGCTATTAGGTTGGAGGCCATCTCTGGGCTGTTAGCCAAAACCTGAAGTCCAGGTGCTTTGCTGCTCCCATCCTTTGTGGTTCCGCAGGGCTCTCATGGCCACAGCCCACGGCTGCTGCGGAGAGCCAGCGACAGATCTGACGAAAGCAGCACGCTGGGTCTTTCTGTGCTGATTGCAGGGGCAGGTCCTGCAGGTACCAAGTTGCCACAGGGAGAAGCATCCCTTGTAAATTTTGACTTGCACACGGCACAGAAGTGACAGCAAGCCCCATGAAGATCCGCAACGCAAAATACCAACCAGAGGGAACAACTCATGAACTTGTTGTTTGGATGTTGTGTTTCAGTGCCAGCAAGATTGACCATTAGCCGTGAAAACCTGACGAACCACTGTGCGCTGAAGCACATTCCTCTGGGATCGTTTGGGCCCTGCTAGGTTTGCTTCTGGCAGACCGGCTATTGTCAGCTGGATGCTCCGTACATATAGTTGAGGCACGCCAAGACCCTAGGAGTGGCAGCCTCGAAGGTCGAGCTTATGCACTCGGTCTTGGCCTCCGGGCGCAACAGACGATTCGGACAGGGCACTTGGGGCAAGTGGGAAAGCAATAAGAGTGGTGGTTGCTCCAAGAGCAGTGGTTTGAATTATATAGACTCATCCCCTTCCAGGACCGTTGATGACAAACTTTGGGAGACTATCAAGCCCAGTGGCTTTGCCAGCGAGCGTTTCAAGCTCCATTTGTCCCCCAAAATCGTGGAGTGCTTAGTCTCGCAGTTGTTTTGACAGATTCATGAACGCTTCTGATTGTGTCCGAGAGTTTGCAGGTGTAGGAAATTGCATGACATGCGCAGTATCCTGAATATCTGGTGGGACATCCTTCGGCATCAGGCTATTGACCTTCGAACGCCGGAAGACAACAATGGCCTTGAACCAAGCCTCTTGATCTACCAGTCAGACCTGTGCTCCGCTATGTTGGACCACTTGGAAACCAACTTTGGAGGCACCCACTTGCAAGCATCACACTTCTAATCTAGAATCTAAACACCTCATGATTCAACCATTTCCTTGGAGCACAGCATGCAACCCTAATGGCCCTAGACGGAGGGTATGTCCGATGCACTGCATGGTGCCACATGGGACATTTGTGTTTTTTTGGGTATTCCACGTCACCGTTTTTCAAAGCATGAGCAGTGCTTGATGGCGATGGTGCCAAGTTCCGCGGACATAGATGCAATAGCATCTGCAGTTTGTTGAAACTGAACATGAAAGCATTGCGAAGCATTGCTTCTTTTCTTTTGTGTGCCTTAACATGTGCTGCACCTGCACATTGCTTGTCCGGGACAATCCCCAGTGTATTTGGTCTTGACCACTATGCAACTAAACTGTGTTTGTAACTTTTTTTGTGACCGATTTTCCAAAAAAAGCGTTATAGGCAGTTGGGATTGCATAGTGCCACGCTTGTTTCAAGGCTCTTGCACTATTGTCTATTGTATGGATTCAACTTCTTTTGGGCTTGTGTTGTATGACCGGGTGCTGGCAATGAACAATTGATGTAGGTCCTCGCTGTCAGATGATGCTGTTCACGGGCACATGGGAAACCTGTATGCAAACTAAATATAGACTGCCTCGGGCAAACTGCTGTGAAGGAGAGGGAGTGAGGGAGAGAGAAACCCTGGCCATCGCTAGTAGGTTGGAGAGAGAAACCCTGGAGGTTCGGGAAGATTGCGAATCTCTTTCCAAAGCCGCCTGAAGTTCCTCAATGCGGCGACAGGTGCCTCAGCGCTTTCCTTGTCAGGCTTATTCTCAGATCTCTGGAGCGACGGGATATTCTTTTCATTTAATATATACCTATCTTTGAACGTAAATGCCGGATTGCCAGGATGTTGACCACCTTGTGTGTGAGGGCAACTGGTTGCTTCTCACAGACCATGTCAGGTGCTGCAAGTGTGCAGAAAGGTGAGCAGCTAGAGGAACTGCCATCAGCGGATTTGGTAGCAGGTTGTGATGGTGTAAACTCTGCTGCTGGCTTGTCATGTAAAGTTTTTGTTTTTTTTTCTCTATGTCTTCCCCTGGAGTCAAGACTCACTTGGAAATCAGTGCAGCATGCAGCTCAATCATGCAACCGGGATCAATCATGTTGATACATTCCAAATGTTGCAGCATGTTGCAAGGAAGACATGACAGTCACAGCGAATTGTCGACTTGAGGCTGTCCGCTCAAGCATAGCAGCGGCCTGCCCAGCGTTTGAGGTAGGAGCCAGGGTGAAAGATGCTCATTCACTAATCTAAATCAATTGCATGCTATATGTTTTGCCTGAGCCACCCGGAGCAATCGACTTGACCAATGTGACCCGCAAACGTATAATTACATTTTACATTTATTGCATTTGCACCAGGTGGCGCAGACCAAACTGCCTGGCAGCTTTAAAGTCCTGCGGTTTCCTCAGCACCATGGCTGAAGACTGAACTGTTGGCAGGTGGTCGCAGTAACAAGTGCTCGGCAGGATGTACTACAAGTAGTCACTTTACTCCCCCTCTCTCTCTTTGTTTTTTTCTCGGTTCTTTTCTGTCACGCCAAAGTCAAGGCGAGCCACGGCATTCTAGCCAAAAGTGGCAAAGGGCCAAGGATCGTTCGCCTTGCAGCCCATACAAAGTCATCAAGACTTCCAGTCCTGATTGCTCGTCAACTGTCCGAGCTCATTGGGAACCTCAAAGTGGTTTGCCCTTTGCGACTGGCACAACCATTTGCTAACCAACTCTGAACTCTTCCATCTTGCTCTTTGGAGGTTCGGTGGCACTTCTGGCATTCAAGCCATTCCCCCCTCCTCCACACATCGTGGCTTGGATGGATGCGAGTCCGTAGGTTCAGAGTCTCCTCAGTCATCCTGGTATAACGACATTGAGATCCTTTCAACTGCTCTAAAGCTGCCTTGCCACTGCGCAATGGAATCTTGGCCCAACAGCGGCTGCATCCAAAATTGGTCGCCCGCATGATCCAACGGTGCCCTGGCTGGTCTTCCATCATCTCCTCCGTGTGCTGCACCAATTCGGACATGGTTTGCTTCAAAGTCTTGGAGACAGTGCCAGGGCAGGCTGTGGCCTGCTTGCTGCTGATTTCCCCATGAGTGTTGCAGCCCTTGATTTTTTCGCAGTGCTCACAAATCACTCCGTGGTGGTGATGAAGCCACTTGTGTTGGTCTTTAACGGAGTTTGTTGGACCAGCTGGTTGAAGAGCTCAACCCTTCCTTTGGGTTTGGCCGGCTTGACCTTGAAACTCCGTTTCAACCTTCTCAAGTTTGCCATGCATATAGTGATCCGGATCACCCAGGATGGCACTGATGCGGCCGGCAGCAACCTCATAGATGTGCTGATGTTTCACATCTTCTGCCTTGAGCTCAGCCTCCAATGCTGTGGGTGCTTCCTTGGCTGCCCTGCCTTTAGCGGCCAATTTGGCCTCGAGGAACTGCATCCATGCCTTGGACTCACCTCCTTGCTCTTTCAGAAGCTTCTGTGGGACGTGAAGCAATTGCACCCGCAGCCACTCCTCCTCCGGCAGGTTGTGCCACAGATCTGGGCCAGTCTTGCCAGCGGCCCCTTTCTTGAGGGCTTCCCAGCCTGCTTTGCTAGGAATATTGACTTAATGTTTTCCAAGGACAGCTCACTCCCAAGACCCATCCCCTAGCCTCAGAGGCTTTGCCAGGGGCCACCGCTGTGCAGGTGCCAAGGATCTGCCATGAGCCCTCCTGCCAAGTACCAGCTGTCAAAGCCACTGTGTAATTCTTGATGCGGACATCTTGACAGGTGGCATGAACACCAATGGCTAATCTGTGAGATGGGCTTAGTCGGACAGGCCATCTTCTGGCAAACAAGCCAGTGACTTCACACGACTCAGGGCCTTCCACAGTCATGTAGTGCGGGGACTCGATGAGGCCTCTTGCCCACAACATGGCATCTTCATTTGCCTGAATGCTCACTTGCCATTCCCGTGGTAGGTCTTGTTCATGATACTTGCATTGCCACACCAAGTGCTTCATAGTGACCGGGACATTGCACAGCGGACAAACCACTCTTTCACCCGCTCCATGGGTCCTCAAGGATCCTTGGGTCCAAGCATTTTAACTTAATGTTTAACTTAATTCTAATAGCTTCTTGTTACCACTAGTAAGGCACCTGTTACTACTAGCGAGGCACTTGTTACTATCAACTGCCGCTTTGGCAGGCCCATTTAGGCTTTTGATCACCCGGTGGTAGACTGTCCAGTCAGGCTGCCTCATCAGGGGAAAGCAATGCTCGAGCTCTTGAATCCTGCGCGCCCTTTGATTCTTCTGCTCAATGTGCAGCTGCCTTTGCAGATACGGCCATGGAAAGTCAAGACTGAGCTGATTCGCAGGCAGGAGTCCAGTCGCTGGCCTAACCCAATCATCAAGCACAGATGCATCCCATCCCATTTCCATGAGATAAACTTGCAAAGCTGCCATAGGTCCAGCCACAACAATCCAAGGGTGAGCAGCCGCTTGCAGCCTGCACCACGGACCTCCAAACTCGAATCCGAACCGGGCGAGACCGAAGCTTCAAGTGCAGGAGCTTGGACTGTCTTCCACTGCCCTTCAACAGTCGTTTCTGTTGATTGCCAACCAGCCCCCACCTGAATCCAGGCCTAAGTCCTTCAAAAGGTCATGGGCACGTGGCTGATTCACTGCCCTCTTGGCTTCAGCAGTGGAGGCCAGGAATCCAGTCTTGCTGACAGAAAGCTGGAGCCCAACTGATTCAAGACCGTGCTTCACTTCCTCATACCCGGCCAGGGCTTCCTTGCAGACCATGTTGGCATCTTCCCCAACGAAGTCTATGGAGATGTCATCGACCCATACATCGACAGATGCCTTGGAGTGCTTGTCATGGAAGTCCTTCAAGACTGGGGCCAAGACAAGTTTCGCAACCAGTGGAGCGGCCGGGCAACCTGCCAACATGCCTGATTCACAATGAACTGCACTGGATGTGACTTGTTCTGCCTGAAGCAAACGAGGGCCAGTGTAGACTTCATAAATGAAGTTCATGAAGGCAGGAGGGAAGTCAAGCGGTTCCCAAAGCTGCAAAAGCTGTGCCAACTCCACACTGTCGTAGAAACGTTGGAGGTCAATCAGCAACAAGATGACATGTCGACCAACAGCACGGCCAACCTCACACTTCAGGAGCCTCATCAGTGCAACCTGAAGGACTTGTGTGCCCGGGAGGCTGCGTTCCCAAGGCAGCCTTTGGCCAATGCTCGTTTGCCATGGCTTGATTTTGTCCCATCGAAGGCGGCACCATGTGTGGTAGAGCACACTTGTCAAAGAGATTGGCCTCTCGATTTCAGCCTTCTTGGGAAGGAGCAGCACCAGTGTGGTGCATACCTGATCAGGCAACCTTCCAGCAAGTTCCCACTTCCGCAGCATGTGACAAAGTTCAATGACACCTTCGATTGGCAGATTCTTGAGCAGGGCGTAACTGATGCCATCTGGCCCACTGGCCTTCTGCGGAAGTTTCCTCAATTTCTTCATAACCTCATAAGGGTCGAGATCTTCCCAGCTTCGGGCCTGCACAATGCCCTCCCAGCGCAGTCGCTCTCTCTCTCTCTCTCTCTGCACTCTCCTTGGGCTTGTCAATGACCTGCCATCTTCCATACCACTGCTGCTCCCTCAAAGCTTGCCTTTGTTGGACTGGCACATTGCGGAAAGGCCGGACATGCACATTGTCAGGTGCTTTGAGGCATTTGTACATGCCACTATGTCCACGGAGCTTGGCTTGTGACAACCACTGTTGAAAGTCACTTGCTTGCTGTTCAAAGGCCAGCTTCTTGGCAAACTCCTTGTTGCATTCAGCCCCTTTGATGAGGAGTGTGATTGGCGTAGGATCTCCAGCAATCAAAGCCTCTACACCAGTTTGAACTCAACAAGACCATGCACCTCTTGCCACCTGACCGCCAGATCAGCAGTTTTCGCCCGTAGGTGATCCATGGTGCCCACTCCAATGGTTGATTTGCTCGCAATGTGATGCAGCAATGAACAAAACTGCCCCCAGTACGCCAGATCACCCTTCTTCCACGGGGTTAAGGGCTTTGACATTGGCAATGGTTTGTTCTCCAGTGCTAAAAACCATCCTCTGCCCTGCTTGGGTTTATGAAGGCGTTGTAGCACAAACTGCTCAGCTTGATGACACCATTCTGCATACTGAATCTCCTTTGGCCCAGTCGGTCGGCCAAGCCAGAAAAGCTTCGGTGCAGGTTGGAACTCTTCCCACGAGCTGACCTGATCATCCAACTTGGGTACAGCAGGATATTGTGTCAGCTGAGGTAGCATAAGACGTGGTGCCTCCTTGTCCACTGTGACTACCAATGCAGCATGGGGTTTCCAAGGGACATCTCAGTTCACCTTGATGTTCATGAATGGAGCCACAGTTCTGCTGACCAAGAGGTAATCAAGTTCAGCTCCGCTGATCATCGTGGGCTGTCCACTACTCAGAAGTTCCGCCTTCGGGACATTCAGCAAGTTATGCCCTTCCCACTGAGTGGGTGGCACCTGGAAATCACCAATGACAGCCCATGGGATGGCCAGTTCCTGTAGGAAGGCCGCTAGCTCCCCCAAAATGGTGGAATTGGCCCTTGAGTTCAAGTCTTCCCCACACTTGAGGTACAGGGTGACAATCACCATCTCCCACTGCTGCCTCTGCAGGACGTTTGCCGGCAAACCATTTCCGTCCAGGTCATAGGAGTGAATCCTATAGGCAGACTGCCCTTCTCTGGTGCAAAAGAGATGGCCCCCACTATTCCCTCCTCGCCCAGTTTCATGTGCAGCCAAGAAAGTGGGGTGCCACCGATGTCTACACAGGTCGTTTTGTACCCCATCCATCTTTTGACCTTGGAGATGCGTCTCGACCATCATTACGACGGAATGGTCCTGCTGGATCATCCATTCCTTGACATCTTTGGTCCACTGGGTGATGTTGGCATACAGGAACTCAATTTCTTGGTGAGGATGTCTAGCTTTCTTTGGCGGTGGTTCAAAATTTCCAATCGTTGTCGACCAGAAGTGTGACTGCTCCGCTCTGGAGGCCCAGACCATGACCGCCCCTCTCTTGATGTGTTCCGGTACTTCTCGATGCACTTCTGGGCATCTACCATCATCTGCAATCCATACAGCTTCACCTTCAACCAGCATGGTCACATAGTGGCCCGACACCAATTCCTGCCCTTGATGAGCTATGATGCCCCTCAGGACAAAAGTAGAGTGACCAGAGTGTCCAGACTGCGTTCTCTGCGGGCATTTGAAAGTGGAAGGCGTCTGCAAGAGGTGATGGTGCTTGATCCATGCCTTAGCTTGTGGGCAGAGAGAGTATCTGCCAATGTGAAAGACGATGTGCTCCACATCACTGCCCAAACATTGGCCATGCCCTTCATTGCCCACTCTGCCAGCACCTGTTCAAAGTTGACTTCTTCTCCCGCTTCAACCGGCATCCTGATAAACAAGGGGATGGTGTCAAAGTCATGCCACCTCCCACCAAAACGAGCATGCCAGTTTCCCTGCAGCCCCGTTTGACCCCAAAGCTCCCATAGCAGCACCAGGAATTCTGAGGCATTATGCTGACTTTGAGGGTTTTCCAGCCTTGCAAGGACAGGCTGAAGCTCTGAGGCCCAAAAGATGTCCTGGATGTCATCCTGCTGAAGAAGTTGCATGCACAGTTTCGTGGATGGTCCCCAAAATTCCGCTGGACTGGAGTGGTGCGCTCCCATCCAACACCACATGCGTAGGACAGCATTGGCAAAACATCTATTGCCTTTGTTGTGAATGTTGAGGGTCAGGTTTGCCGCCAGGAGTTCAACTGACGGTGGGATTTCCGGTTCATGATCCACCGGCCTACGCAACATCAATGTGCTCTGCAAGGCCAATCTCATCCGCAGAACATGTTTGAGGGCTTCCAAGCCCCAGACTCTAGTCGGCAAGGCTTGGATGGCCTTGGCCCTTTCCTGCAAAACAAGCAATCTATTCTGCAGCCTCCCAGGGCCCGTTTGCTCAATCATCTCATCTTCATCTATCCAAACCTCATCTTCCCTGCCTCTTTTTGCCTCCTCCTAAGAAGGGACAGCAAAGGCCTGGGCTAGGTGCCTTGACTGTAGGCTGCTGATGCTCCTGAGGGTACCCTGGAGTCCCGCTGACAGCAGTCTGGGTTGCCCCTCCACAAGGGCGGTGCCCCAAGAGTACCCTCTGCATCATCCGCATCGTGCTCTCGAGTTGTTCGAGCATGTGGTGCAAATGAGCTAACCTCTGTCCTCTTTGGGTCATAGGTGTCAATCTGTACCTTGTCTCGATCATTGTCAGAGCCAAGCAAATTGTTGCATTCTTTTTGGCTCCCCTCTTCCTGTTCCGTCTGAAACTGTTCCGCCCATTCCTCCACACCATAGGCCCTGCTCACCGACATGGTGCGCCCCGGCTCTAAAGCAGAAGAAAAGGCAGGGTCCACCCCAGTAGCAATGTCAAAATTTGGCATGTCATGTGCTTGTGGAAATGGACTATCGTAGTAGCTCTTCACGTGAACATACGGCTGCAGGCCTTGAGTCCAGCAATGTTCACTATCACAATCTTCATCCCATTCATACATGTTCCATTGTGCAAAGCGCTGTTCTCCCACACGCTCTCCCCAAGTGTTGTGAGGATGTCCAGCCCTCCACAAACTCAAACACTTCAAATCGTTTGAGTGCTCCCAAGTGTCAACCTTCATTGACTCTCCCAAACATTGCTTCCAACAGAACCCCTTCACCGTCAGAAGCTGTCCCCTTTTGCCAGGCACCCCAAGGTTCCTGGTGGTGTTACGCCTCAGCCGTCTTTCGGCGCTTGGCCAAGCTAGATTGCGTTCCAGCTCTTTCTGCTGGTCCGTAGTGAACAGAATGCCAGCTTGCAACATGGCCTTCATGACGTGTTCCGTCGTATCTGGGTCCAGAACGTGGTCAGAGGCCGGAGAGCCTGGCAATGCTTCCTCCTTCAACTGCTTTGCATAGGCTTCGGATTGATTGCCAAGCTGCTTGTGCTCACGATCAATGGCCTCCTGAACCAGCTTGAGTTCATCCAGCAAGGTCTTATAGTGCTCCTTGGCCGTGTCAACTTTCTTCTGTAAGGCTTGCTTTCTATGCGACAGTTGGCGTAGTTCACCAACGGTGGCCTTGAGCTGCCCTGTGACATCAATTGGAGCATTGGGCGGCTTCAAAAGCCCTTCAACCGCCTCTTTGACTTCCTTAGGAAGTGCTTCAAGGTGAGCTTTCAAGATCTCTTCAAGTGGCTGCAGTTCCGGTGTGGGGTGTAGTCAATTCCACACTCCTTCAGGGCTGTAGACAGAACTGTTGGCACCATGGCTGAAGACTGAACTGTTGGCAGGTGGTTGCAGTAACAAGTGCTCGGCAGGATGTACTACAAGTACTGTAGTCACTACTCCCCCTCTCTCTCTCTCTCTCTCTCCCTCCTAAAACGATATATAAATACTTTTTGGCGGTGGCAATGCGACGTGGAGTCAGGGTTTTCACCTGCCGTCTTAGGATGCCTTCCGAGCTGGATCCCACAGCGGTGCATCTTTTTACTGGAAAGGGGGGAACATCCGCCTTCATAGAGCCAACTGCACGTGGCTTGGACAAAGACAGGCTACTGGGGGCTGCTGGCATCGCTACTAGTAACAAGAAGCTACTAGGAGCTCCTGGCCTTACTACTAGGAACAAGGACGCTACTAGGGGCTCCTGGCCTTACTCCTAGGAGCACTATACAAGGGAATATGGTTTCTACTTTTGCATTCCTTAAAGGCCGCTCTGCCCTCCAACCTACTAGCGATGGCCTCCAACCTAAGAGCAGCGGCCTCTAACCCTTTGGTTAATGATCTTATGACTTATGGTTTGTTTGGTTTAGGAGGCCGCCACAGGCGGTGAACTTCGTGGTGAACAACCTCGCCTCGCTTCTCAGCTCACCAAGGTGGAGCTTGCGCTCTTATCAACTGGCGGGATGGGGTGAATGTCCAAGAGCTGCCAAGCTTGGGCGAGCTGCAGGATCCAGAAGAGGCCACTTGCTCCTGCAGGGCGGTCCTTTTGCATTTAAGTTGTTGAGTTCCGTGAACATTGACACTTGCTACCAATAATGGGCATTGCAACGGGCTTGAGCAGGCTCGAGAGACCCTCTCCTCCTACTTCCCTGCGATTGCGGCCCCTTGGATGCATGAGATGAAGGCAGTTTGTTTGAGCACACTCCGCTGGAGGAAGGCCAGGATGACTTCAGTGCAAAGCAATTCCTGCCCACATGCAAGGAGGCAATCACAGATGATGCTGGCAAGCAGTTCGTCTCGCAAAAGGCATACGGGGCTCTATTGGAATGCCAATCATTGGCTGACAGTCTTTCATGGTGTAGCATGTGCATGTGTTTTTGATGCTGCTGACAGGCATCACAGGCTTCAACTGTGAAGTGCAACACGTATCACTTCGGCAGAGCCTTGCTGTGCTGTAAAGTCTGAAGTGCTGCCACTCATTTGGTGCAGCATTTCATGTGGGATGTATCCCTGAACACTGCCTTGGCTGAGACCTGCTCAGGAGCAGTGCTGCTGGGAGATGCGGCACACTCCACAGGAGGAGTCAGTGGGCAGGGCTGCTCCTCTGCGATGAAGGACTAAATTCCCTTTATACTTTTTAACGGCACTGTCCTTCGGGGTGTCATGCCCCAACCATGCAGCTGGAAGGACTCAGTTGTGCTTGCAGAGCTGCTTCAGTGAGGGCCTTTGAGATCTTGGAAACAGCTGAGCCAAATTAATTGCATATTCAAACTCACACCACTTAAACCAAGTGTGCTGCGTTTTTGAGGCGCGAGGTCGGAGGTGCCAAGCGAGACACTCTGGAGGTCTTGTCAATGTACTCACGCCAGCAGGCTACTTGGACACAAGAGGACGTAAAGAGAATCATTCTCGGTGTACATATTTCTTTTCCATGTGCTTTTGTGCATATTCAGAGTGCAGCGATTGAGGTTCCTGAAGGACATGCATTGCTAGACCTATCCTTGGGACCCAGCGAGAAAGCTGGGCCCCTGCGGAAGGCCCTTTACAATGCTGACGCCTGTTTGCATAAGCACATTTTATGTCTTATGTTAGGAAGGAAGTCGTGTTAGGAAGTATGAAGGGACAGGGCCCGAAAGAGGCCCAGGCAGACTCCGATTCATCGGAGGATTTCGAAAGGTCGAATCCCAAAAGTCTTCAAAACGATCCCAAAAGATCGAACAAGTACATGTTACTGAGGCATCTTTGGCGGGAACTTTGTTGAGCAAATTGGGGATTGGAGATCCTCCACTGCAGACCCTTCTGACAACTTCCTTGACTCCCTTCTCTGAAGCTTGCCAGGTTCGAGACAATTTTGCTAGGCTGACACATGCATACTGTAAGAATTAGATTCGAGTTCGCATGTCTCGTGTCCATGAGTAGCTTGAAGTGTCTCAGCACATGAGCTCCTTGTCAGACAGCAGGAGAACTCATCAGTTGCTGTTTCAGTTTGCCAATGCCATCAGCAGAGAATAATTGCGAGCAAACATGAGCGAACCAGAGCGGGTTTGGTCCTTCCTTACTGCGAGGAATGAGAACTTAGACTACATTACATAAACCAGCAAGCCTAAAACTCAAGCGCACGAAAGGAAGAACAAAGCTTGCGATACTTCAGCCTAGCGCCTGCTAAAAGCATGCCTCAGACGGCATTGGCACACTCGCCTTTTCATGGTGGAGCTGGAATCCCAACCATGTCATGTGATCGCAAGTGATGGTTTTCATCCTTGTCAGGACGTTTTTGCTTCATGGTTTCGACATGTTTGGACTGAACTGAACAATACAATCCTGTCCGTTGGAGACGCAAACGCAACATAACACAACTTCAGCGGTGAGGTCTCCGACAACGAGGTTTCCCCAAGAGCCCACTGTCCAAAAGTTTTCGAATCTTTCCCTCCTAGTTCGGAATTTTCTATAGACCCGGTTTGAAATTGTTTCCCGGTCGTCCTGTTCATTTTGCTTTTGTAACGTTTTTGCTTTTTCAGAAATCTCAATAAGTTAAGCCTCGTGTGCCCTGGAAGAGCCACTCAGGACATACGACGTGACCGCGACTTCTTTTTTGGAGAGTTTCCGCAACAAGAAGAATTTGATTCAATGATCGAAAGGGCTTCAACCCCGTCTTGAAATCCGGGGTCCAAACTGAGCAGACAGACAGCGAACGACCCACGACAAAGCAAGCATGGTGAGCCATCGGTTTGCCGTAAGTACCCTGGCAATGTGACTCTGAGACATTTGACACAGACTGGGTCTTGTAGTAGAGCTTTGCTATGATGTCCAGATCAGATGTCGGTATGCTCGGATGATATTAGGATATTTGGACAATGTTTAGTTTTAGGCAGTCCACTATTGCAGTGGCAGTCTCAATTTTCGATCTTTAGCAGACTCAATTTTGGGCCCACCAATCACAAGGTCCCACTGCGAGCTGCTGAGACTCCCAGTCTTCAGCACAGACTCCGGTGTAAGCTTTAGGATAGACCGGTGGTGCATGAATATGCACGATGCGCAGTCTTCGATGCAGAAAGGGTTTGTTTGGGCTCGCAGCTTTGGTCTTGATCCGTCGCTTCAGCCTCCTCCAGCGCAGGATTTGCCAGAACGATGCCAGGTCCAGGTGAAGATGGTTAAGACTCTGCTGCGCGTGGATTTGTGTCGGGAACCCACGCCTTGGAGAAATGGTGATTGAAACTGATTTGTATCGGCATTGCGTAGTTGAAGATGCAAAACACCTATATTTCCTCAATGATCTAGCTCAAAATTACTGAAAGAGATGTGCTCAGCCGGCTTTCGCTGTAGGTTTGCTGAGTGTGGGGTTTCGGACTGGAAGCCATGGCAAAGCTGCGTTTAGCGGCAGCCAGACCCACTCAGCTGTCCCAGTGGGAGCGCCTGGATCTTCTGCGAAAGGAAGGATCTTTTTGTGACGTGGTGATGCTGAGCTCAGATGGTCAGCGCTTTCCATCTCATGCCGTCGTCCTAGCCTCTTGCAGCGAAAAGCTGAAAAAAATTATGGAACAAGCCAAGGCAGGCAAGCTGCAGCAAGTGCAGTCACGAGAGGAAAACGCTGAGAACGGTTCGGCCAAGCCGGAAGCTGTCACAGGTGCCAGTGCAGCGGCAGTGTCTGCAGTGCTGGATTTTATCTATTCTGGCCAAGCCCAGCTTGTGCTGAACGTGGTTCCTGAGGTCGCGCGCTTGGCTCGGCGCTGGGACTTGAACTCCTTGCAGGAGGCACTTGCCAGTAGTGTGGCTTCAGAAGATGGTGGACTCACCCCAGACGTCGTGGCGGGGCTTTTCGCCCTAGGGGAGCCCTTTGGAGAGCAGCTCGGGGCAGCAGCAAGGACGTTTGTGCTGAACAACTTTTCAAGCTGTGCAAGCACAGATCCCTTCACTCGATGGCCGCAAAAGGTGCTGGAGCACCTCCTGAAAAGTGATCAACTAGTGGTCACTAATGAAGAGGAGACCCTCTTGTGGGTGGCTCGCTGGCGAGGGGCTAAAGCAGGCAGGGAAGATGCTGCCGTTTCTGTGCTTTCAGCCATTCGTTGGCCTTTGTTGTCTTTGTCGACTCTGGAAGCCTTATCGGATAGCAAAGGCTTCGCCAATGGCGCCTTTGCTGAAACAGTGGCAGAGCGTTGTAAAGCTGCAAAAGTAGCTCATCAAGGCCTGGAAGCCTTGCCTCATGTGCGACAAGGCTTTTGTGGGTGGTGGTCTGGCTTGGGCTGTGCTGCTAAGGGCGGTGTGGTCATTGCTGGGCAGGGTTCACCTGGCAAAGAGCCTCTAAAGCCGAAAGCAATACGCCCACATGAAGGCACGTTGCTGGTGTTGGATGGCACTGAAGAGCCAGGTCGAGTAGTACAGTGGTTCCTTCGCATGCATAGTGGCCGAAGTCTGGCTGGAAAGGGCAGTGAGTTGCAAGACAGCTTTGAAGACATGGCAGATATTTGGAGTGGTCCCGACGATGCTTTCTACATCTTGGACCGAGATGCAGAGCGAGTCGTGCAAGTCCGGAGCGGGGAAACTGAGGTGGCCAGCAAGGGGACCATCCGCCTAGAACGGCCCTGTGGTGTGGCTGTCGAGGGTCCTGATCGAGCAGTTTATGTTCTCGACCGGGAAGGAAGCCGTGTGGTACGGTATGTGCGCGGCCGTTCGATGCAGGTGGCTGGAGGCACTGAGCCAGGTGCAGGGCCAGGCCAGCTCAATGCAGGCCCCACAGGCCGCATTTTTGCAGCCAAAGGTGGGCGCCTTTACATCTCTGACACTGGAAATCACCGGGTGCAGAGGTGGGATCCGGGAGCCAAAGTAGGAATTACAGTGGCTGGAGGTCATGGTTGCGGTAGTGGCGCTGACCAACTGAGCCATCCAGGGGGGATTTGGGCTTTGGACAATGGCACTGTCTATGTCGCTGACGTGGGGAATCACAGGGTAATGAAGTGGCGTGATGGTGCAAAGGCGGGTGTGTTGGCTGCAGGGGGCTACGGTCCTGGCGATGGCTTGCACCAGCTGAAGGAGCCGGTGGATGTGACTGTAGATGCTTTGGGTGCCCTGATTGTTGCTGATTTCGGCAATGCCCGGGTCATGCGCTGGTCACCACCATCCATCTCCACTGAACTGCTCGCAGCGGTGAGGGGATAAAGGGATATGTAGGTCCAAACCTGGGCAGTGATGCAATTACAATGTGGCATTCTGACGATCTGTATCGTACATGTGCAATTTTTAAGCTTCATCTCAAACCATCTCAAATCTAAACGCATGTGTCACCATTTGTGACATGTGGTGCTTTGATGTTCTCTCATACTTTTGCGATCTTTTGCGGTCGTCTGTCATGCGGTGGTCTACAACGGAGAACTTGGCTAGGTGAGGCTGCTGGTGACACGAACCTCTTGGCTTGCAACTGAGGGTCAGGTTGCCCCAATGGTGTGTTGCTCTGAAGGATGCAATATGTCAATATGTAGCATTGGCATAGCCGCGACCCCATTAAACTTGCCTGAGCGGCTTGAGTGTATTCACTCATATTGTAAATTGCATGCGTTTCACCCAAGGTTTTCGCCACAGCAGACATGATTGTTTTGCCACTACCTTCGCTACCTTGCTGTTTGCCGATGCCGCCTCTTAAAGTTCCTCTGGAGCTCAAAGTGCTCATCATCCCGGTTGTCACTTGTAGCCATGGCGCAGGACTGCAGCTGCTGCGTTTATTTGCAAGTACTGGTAGCAGCTGTTTGGTGAGACATGTGGGCTTAACTACATAGGACCTGATGGCCTTTGATGCCAAGAGCCCTGCCCATGCAAAGGTGGAGCAAAAGCCAGAGGAGTGACCTGTTACATTTTGGTTTGAAGTGCATGGAAGCCCGTGGACAAAGGAGATTCAATGATTGCAAGATGCCCCAAGGCTGATCAGCTGATAGTCGGTTTGATCTGAATATTTATTTGTTGGGACTGTATCCGTGGCACAGCCGCCAAACAGGCTTCAATCCGGCTGCCGACTTAAGAACTTCAGGCTTGTGTAGTTCTTCATGTTCCAATGACTTGTGCGCTTCTATGCTCGGGTTGTGGACTTATATATATATAACTCAATACGACCAGAGAAGCAAAAGCGCACTAGACTTCTACTCACGGTGTCCAGTGGAGCCCGGTGGGGCACTTTACCCACAGCAGATCTTTGAGTTGGCAGGATCTCCTGAGCAGCTTCGATCCCTTGACAGCCGCTGCTGCACCCACGTCCAGCCTCCTAGACGCAAGTATGTAGATATAGATATAATTAGTGACTATGTATGAATGTTTTGATCATGTAATATCAATGTTTTGATTAACAGTTTGCCGATCTTTGGCCACTAGTACCGTTGAGGTTTGCTGCAGAAACTATTTACCAGATGCCTTAAGGATGCATAGTGACATAGTGGCTTCGCCAATCGCACCTTTTAACATACAAAGCCGCCAACACCAAAGCTCAGATGAGATGAGCAAGGGTGTTTCCAATGTAGGTTTATATTGATATATGTATATAGTCTTATAGATTTTTGTGGACAAGCCACACTTGATCTCAGGCAAGGCGGCCAGCTCCCTGGATCTTCCGCCTGCTGTGGCTGCTGCTTTCAATGCACCAGCAGCCACCTCGGCACCTTGGATCGTCTTGGGCCGTTTTAGCTGCAGCTTCCAAATAGCTTCTTGTTACTACTAGTAAGGCACTTGTTACTAGTAGCGAGACACTTGTTCCTAATAGCTTCTTGTTACTACTAGTAAGGCACTTGTTACTACCGTAGATGGACGAAATATTCAAACCCTTTCAACCACGTGGACCCCTTCTACCCCAAAGCTCAATGTTAGAGGTCTTGCAAGAATGTTTCGGCGAATGGATGAAACAAATCAAACCCTGGAAACACAAATTCAATCAAGTTATGTTCAACATTGACCTTTGAGGGTCAGGGGTTGGCGACAGTTATTGGTACATGGGTTTGAATATTTGGTCCATCTACTGTCTAAAGGTGTGACGTTTGCATATTTTTGGCTCGTAAGT